GTGCCGAGGGTCCAGGACGCCCTGGTTGTCCGTGGCCAACGTCTTCTCCCAGGCGGACCAGACCTCAGGTGGGAAGGGCTTGCCCTCGCGCATGCAGCCCAGGAGCGTGATCAGAGGGTCCCCGGGCTCGAAGCGCTTCGTGCCCTTCAGCTCGAAGACGCAGGGGATCTGAGAGAAGACCTTGATGGCGTGCTGGATCTCCACCGTCGGCGGGTCCGCGTACCTGTACGACTCGTCGTCGTCCAGGCGCTCGTTCACGTCCGTCAGGAGGCCAATGCTGCCGGTGGGCTTCAGCTGCAGGAAATCGCCGAGGTGCAACACGATGGGCACGCGCCCGAAGTGGTGGCGTGGCCGCTGGTAGTTCGACTCCTGCACGTCGTGCGTGTCACTGCGTCCGTGGCAGGCGCGAAGGTCCAGCGCGTTGTACAGCGCGGCTCAGACTTCCTCGCAGTTCACTCACAGACGAGGCTCCCGCCTGAGACTTCCTCCATATTCAGGCTTGAGGAGCCCAAAAGTGACGACAGTTACAGGGTTCCGATGACCCGCTCGGATTACCAACATGATCTGCGGGCCCCATAGGGAGGGGGCTCCCGCCTGAGACTTCCTCACAATTCACTCACAGACGAGGCTCCCGCCTGAGACTTCCTCCAAATTCAGGCTTGACGAGCCCAAAAGTGACGACAGTTACAGGTTCCGATGACCCGCTCGGATTACCAACATGATCTGCGGGCCCCATGAGGCTCCCGCCTGAGACTTCCTCCAAATTCAGGCTTGAGGAGCCCAAAAGTGACGACAGTTACAGGTTCCGATGACCCGCTCGGATTACCAACATGATCTGCGGGCCCCATAGGGAGGGAGCTCCCGCCTGAGACTTCCTCCCAATTCACTCACAGACGAGGCTCCCGCCTGAGACTTCCTCCATTGTCAGGCCTGGGGAGCTCAAAAGTGACGACAGTTACAGGGTTCCGATGACCCGCTCAAATTACCAACATGATCTGCATGCCCCATAGGGAGGGAGCTCCCGCCTGAGACTTCCTCACAATTTACTCAACGATGATGAGGATGAGGATGATGAGTGGTGGTGAGGATGAGTGGTGAATAGGATGATGATTGATTGCGAGTGGTGGTGGCGATGATGATGTTTGAATGAGGATGATGCCGATGCCGATGATGATGATGATGTTCGTGAGCGTGTGAGAGAGTGCGAGTGATGATGATGATATGTATGTGAGTGACTAAGCATGTGAGAGAGCACCATCGATGATGCTGATGAGGTTGATGATGAGAGAGTGTGAGTGAGTGTGAGTGGGTGTGTGTGTGTTCCTGTTCCTGCGCGGGGTGTCCAGAGAAAACAAGAACCCCACTTTGGATGTGGGGAATAAAAAGTGCAAGGTTACTGAGAGGGCTCCTGGGGGGAATTTAAAGAATTCCTAAGGGTCCTGAAAAGTATCAGATTCCAGGGAGAGCTTCCTAGGGAACCAAAACAAATCCGAGGGGTCCTACCAAACGCCAGATTCCTGAGGGGGCCTCCTTGGGAATATTGAGAATTCCTACTGATCTTACACATTCCAAAATTCTTGGGGGAGCATCCGAAGGAACCCGGGGAATTCTTGAGGATCCTGATGGTTGCTAGATTCCCGAAAAGACGTCGTAAGGAATCCTCTGAATTTCGATGGACCCTGAAAAGTTTCAGATTCCTGGGAGGGCCTTCGAAAGAATCCTGGGAATTCCTCGGGATCTGACCGATTCAGAGATTCCGGAGAGGGCCCTTTAGGGAACCCGAGGAATTCCTGTGGATCCTACCAGTTTCCAAATTCCTGGGGGCCTTGTAAGGATCCCTCGGGCTCAGTCAAGACCTGCAGCACCCATGAGGATCTTTCAGCATCCGTCAGAGCCCGCCATAGTTCATCGGAGTGCCTCAGGATCCTTCCGGATCCGAAGGAATCCCGTGAATGTCGCAAGGCCGTCGGCCCGAGTTTTGGCCGTCTTGGTGAACAATGTGAAAGGTTACCCCAAGAAAACCTTG